ATATATATAATATTTAATTATAATTAAAAAATTATTTATTAAAACTTAATTTCATTTAATTCAATAACATTATAATTTATAATGTTTTATTTAAACTTAATATCTCTTTTATTTGAAAATTTTATAAAAAAAAAAAGGGTCTGGCATTCCTGTTTATTTTGGAATAAATCTCATGCCAGAAAAATTTCAAAGAAATTGAAATGTTTTAAACTAGTAAATAATTCATAAAGTTCTCTAGCAAGTAACAAGCTTAAAATTGAACTTAAAATTCCCACTCTAACAAGCACTATAGAGTAAGAAAAATGAATCATATAAGAGCTATCCAATGGACAAAGGAAAAAAATTATGGATATTAAAATACAGATGGTAAATGGAGTGTAGACAATTATCAGAACTATATCTATTCTTATGTTTGGTTCTATTATTTCCCTATTTGGATAACATGTTTCATATGGAGATGGTGAAGGAAAGTAACACTCGTTGAGACAGTAAACCATTAACAACAAAACATTATAATTTCCAAATTGAATGTGAATCAAACTTTACTTCAAAACAACTTGATTGCTTTCTTGTAAAACAAATAGCATGATTAACTAGAATGAAAAGCAAGGTTCACATGTCTAGAAAATTAGTAATTTTAAACATTTAAATGACACAGATCTTAAAAAGGCAGTAACGAATCAACAAGGCACCAAGACACATAACCAGTATACTTAACAAGTACAATTAATTTTTTGGGAACATGTTTTGGTTTTGATGAGAAGTTTATGTCCAGGATTGAGAACCTCTGTTGAAACATCCCTATCCTTAAATGTAAAAATATTGAAAGTTTAGTCCTTAATGTTAGAAACTTAATAGTTGAGGCCTTGTACTGTTAAGAAAAGTTTAGGGACTGATTTCATAACAATGTTTGCTGAACAAATGGCTTGGTAGACTAATGTGACATGTAAATGTACACTTGGCATGTGATTACATAGCAATGAGAGAAACATAGTGGAATGCATTAAAATCCCACTAACTTGGGTCAGAATTAGGATGCTTTAAGAGGGGTAAGACCAAAACAAATTTCATTCTTTTCTTCTGTTCTGGCACCAGACGAGCAAAACAGAAATAGAGGAGTGTTGGCTTTGCAGCAAGGGCAGCAGCAAAACTGAGAGTTTTGGGTCCAACCTAATTTAATCTGAGGAAAGTAACTTTTAAGCTTAACAAAATTAAGTTAAGTTCTCTGAAGTTTAAGCAGAAATTTAAGGATGGACTCTTATGGTTAACTTATCTTTGAAATGGTCTGGGTAACTTCTGCATTTTCTGTGTGCTTGTGGAATTTTTCTAGTAAATTAACTGTTGGTGCAGCTGAGCTAGTTGGAAACCCAGTTGGACTGGGAGTGCAAAGAGATGTTAATAAACCCTTTGCAAATCAATAAAAAAAATCATGGCTGGGCCATTTGTAAGGTGGGATGTACACCCACAAGGAAAAATCCATAGCTAAGAATTTGCATTCATCTACATGTTGAACAAGCATAAGGTTGTCTTGCTATTATCTTATGTTATTGAGAATATTTATGTCATGTTTATTTATGACACTCAAGAAACTGTTCAGTAATTGAAGAGCAGTGTAATGGGACTGATTTTATGCTCCCTGAGTTAAAGGAGCATATTTTTCTAGTTTGTTCTAGAAGGGAGATCAAGAAAGCATGTGCTTGGAGTGAACCAGTTTCTAGTGAAATTTTATCATCAAATGCGCAGAGAACTATACTGAATACTGTTGAGAACAATTTCTGGTTTGACAAATTTGAATATTGATAGTTTGTTAAGCTATTAGTTACTTATTGAGCCTTGTAGCTCATGGAAATATTGTTTTTCCCTGTTGTTACAGGTTAGTGTGTTTTATTGCAGCTTATAAATACTTGGGAAGCCCAGAAGCACCTCAACCAGCCAAAGATGCAGCTTAGCAGCTGAGTTGGTAACACAAACTTGTTCTCTGACCAAAACCTTGTCATGGCTCACAGCTAGTTGTAAACAAACTGGTCACCTAAAATTTCTTTTGTGTACAAAATACAGTTTTCTGGAGAACTGTTCCTTTTGTTGTGTTGACTATGTAAATATGCTGTTAGGTTCAATTAAGCTCTGGGACTGAACCTAAATCAAGCCACGCTTGTGGTTTGTATGTTTACAAAATCCATTTTGGAACTTATGGTTATGTGCTAGCTAGTTATAGTTTGAGCTTAAGAACATTCTTTATGAAGCAGGGAAATGATTTCAAGCTTAATGTAGTTAAAGATTTGTCCACCTATGAATAGCAACTATTATGACAGTAAATTTCAGCTAGGATCTACAGTAGTTTCTAGAAATTGCCTATTCGGGTTGTTACATCTGTATTATGGGGTAGATTACCCCTTGTACTCATTGAATAAAATTTTAACTCTGCCAACCCAAAAAACCAAATACAACTAATTTTGTTCTCAGTTTTGACAATTATCAAAGATTATTGCACAGATATGCAATTAAATATAACAATGCATCTTCATCTAATTTAAAAGCATACTTGTGTTAGTTGCCTGCTTTCATGGTTTCCACGTAAGAGGGTAATGTTGGCTGGATACCTACAAGCAGAATATATAAAACAAATAGGATATGATCTTAGCTTTTCCAAAGAAGAATATATCTATTTGATAACAAATTAACACATCAAAATTGTTTAATGAAGATAAATTTCAAATTTTGAATAGAAAAACAAGTCATATAAATCATGTCTAGGCCTTCAAATGAAATACATGATAATGCATACAAGATCTCATGTTATCGAGCTGTTAAGATACCAAGATGTTTAAAAACAATCTTACAGTCCATGGTGACAATCCAATAGAAAGAAGAATATTGTTGCTAAACAATTATGGATATTAGTAAAATAATATTACGACATATTCTGATATACTTTACATGATAATGGCTAGAGAGAGAGAGAGAGAGAGAGAGAAATAAAACAAAACTTGAGACCATTATTCTTTCACACTTCACTAAATTAGACATTTTAATCTCTCGATGTGAGTTTCCAATTGAAAACCTTGAAAACAGTTAAAAAAAATCTCTCAACTTAGAACAGATTGTACAGTCCTCATGGGTATAACAACTTGGCAGGAAACAACCTTTTGAAACAATAATGGGCATAAGGAGACATGATATGCAAAAATTCATTCTTGAAAAATCAACAAGAGCCCAAGAAAAACCCCAAAGAAAGTATATCATACATAAAATAGGCATACCTTGCTTTAAGAAGCAAAAGAATAGTGAAAACTTCAAGACTATTGTATCCTCGATCAACAAAATCCCCCTGTCCAATTAAGTTGGTAGTTTTAACACCCAGCAAGTGGATTCAAAATGATAAAAGAAATATCACAACAGATTTCAACCAGGAGATAAAAGCCATACCATAAATATATAATTTGTCTCTGGCACATGACCCCCTGTCTGAAAAAGTTTCATTAGATCATGAAACTGGCCATGAATATCACCACAGACTGTGACCGGACTGTTGACTGGCTGCACATTGGACTCCTCAATTAGGATCTCCTTTACCTGTAAAACATAGATACATGAGAATGAAAGAAAATAGGAAAACCGCATGCACACATGACATTCTGATCCATTACTATAATATTATCCAGGATATTGGGCATCTATTATTTCATATGAAAAACTCTATTGGCGTGAATAATTAATGAAACAAACTCAAACTTGTATTTCAGAGAGAAAACACCATATGTATCATGATTAAGATATTTTTCACATAGCAGCAGGATATGCGATTATACAAAAGTCACCTATGAATCTAGATTAAATAGTATAGCTTTTAATAGGTACTGAGTAGTAGATGTAGATGGATTCAAAAGACAACACCATAAACACCAAGAATATTTTTTGGGTTAACTACTGGCAGGTGCTAAGTTGAAATTGATGAATTTACAAATATTATCTTCCTACTTGGCCCAAAATAATCAAAAAAGAATTGGAAACGTTCATATGCAAGAGACAATCCTTTAATCATTTTTTTTCATTACAATAACTGCTCAAATAACTCAAGTTATTCAGAAAGCTTGACCTGACATAAAAAAGAACTGTTATCACCAACAAGAACTTAACCCAAGACCCACTACCCAAAATTATTCAAAATGCTGAATCTTTGGACACCATTTAAACGGGAGAAAAAGTAGTAGGATTCCATTCGCGTTAACAAAAAGAAAACACCAATAGAAGAACTTAACTTTCCAGTTCCTGATTATTTTTTCCAAGTTCCACTATGTTCATCTAAATCAAATCATGCAATGCAGCAAATGCCTTTGTTGCCCATTTAATATACGCAAAACCAAAAAACCACTAACAATCAACCATATTACGAAGAAAAAAAGGCAAAAGAAAAGAAAAAAACAAGCTGCAATACAAAACACAATTAGAAACAAAACAAGACCGAGTCTAAATCCTGTATAATTGATTTTTCCTTCCTCCTTCGAAACACAACGAAACCCTAAGTAGACAGATCAAGATGCACAATGCACATGGTGCAAAGAAATGCAAGAAAAAGAAGAGGGAGAAGAAGGAGTACGTATTCGCAGAGAAGCTGCAGCTCGTCCTCCAAAAGATGCTGGCCTTCTTTAACCTTTGCTACCCACTGATCCAAATCCATCTGATTCTCCCCGAAACTTGAAGGAGTTCGTATGTTGCGGCGTTTATAGAATCTGCCTGCCTAGGGTTTTAAGCAGAAGAGAAAGCCGAGACAGGAAAAATCGATGGATCTCTCTCTCCCCTCCGTTGCAGTGTTAGAACAAGAAAATGCGAAAACAGACTTCCAATCTGGGTAGTTCTTATTCTTCTTCTTCTTTTTCTTTTTTTTTTTTTTTTCAAAATAGGCTGAGGTCCAATTTCAGTCCTGAACCTTTATAATCTTGACCACTTTTACTCCATAGCTTTTAGTTTCGGGCGTTTGGGCCATTTTTGGTTCTCCAACATCTTCAGTTAGGACATGTTTGATCCTTTTTGTTAAAAAATGCTTCACCTGATGTAGCATCAATTGGAACTGACGTGTAGGGCCGGACATTTGGAAACTGAATCGACAGGTTACTCAGAAACCGAATCAAAAAATGAATTTGATTTGGTTTCAATAGTTTTTGGTTTTTATTGTTTTGGTTGATGTTAACCGAATAATTTTTAGTTCGGTTTCGATTAAACCTTTCAAAAACCTAAAACCAAAAATAAGCCTCTGAAAATCGAAATTAGGATAAATATGACAAAATATGATAAAATATGAGATAAAATATAATCTATTATTAGAAAAATAATTGATTAATATTTTATTAGTAAAAATCGAAATCAAACTGATTTTATTAGTAACCGAACCGATCAACTTGTAAAAATTTGATTCGGTTTTGATTCTCAAATTGAAGAAAAAAATTTTCGCTTATTTTTGCCCACCCCTACTCACGTGCTTCACTTGATGCAATGTCCTTGTTTGTATCTGTTCTGATAATGCCAATCTATCTAAAGTTTTAATCTTATAAGGTCATATTAACACTTGCAAAATGCTTTGAATTGGTTGGTAGTTCATACTTGAGGATATTAGGTTCATTTAGTATGGCGATATGAGGGTAATGTTTAGTGGTTCTTTCTTTAAAAATCCACAAGTGACATGAGTTACAAACTTAAGTGGGAGGCTTGCCACTTGCTTTGCTATAAAGTAAAAAAATTGAATTTTCCCAACAAGTTTCTCTTTCCAAGCAATCATTCATCCTCTGTTAGGATAGTTGGAAGAACATTGGCTTATAAAGTTCAGTTATGCACCTTTAGACAATTTGTAGGAGGAATGGATGTCTTCCTAGTTTCTATAGAATTGGTTATTGATATGCCTTGGACACCTCAAATAACCTTAAAATATCACCATGAATTAAAAGTTAAAAGATCCAAAATAAAATGAATGAAACATAAACTAAATAAGCTTTCATCTAGATACACTAACATATTAGACTAACAAATTATTAGAAGATTAAACTAAGTAATTGCAAAATTGGAAAATTATATGGATTTGAAACTAGAGTTAAGCTAACTAATTATGAAATATAGTAAAATTAGATTGAAATTAACATGAACATGAATTAGAAGCGTGAAAGCCATAAAGTTGAAAGTTGAAGAATAACACAATTTTCAAAATCATTGAATAAACACATAGATTGATATAGAAGCTAGAATTAACCTAAATTTGATTAAAAGTTGTGCTAAAACAAGGCTTTGTGAGCTGTGTTGAATAATAGCTATGAAAACTAAAATGTTGAATCTGTTGAGTTGTGTGTAGGGCTAATGATGCCTTGCTCACTCTTTATTTTCTCTTTTATATGTCTCAAGATAAATAGTAACTACCATTCCCATTTATGTAGATCATGGTAAGTTTATTGGATTAGTTGGACAACTCAATAATAGACTTGATTAAAACCCTCTCCAAAACTCACCACTTGTTTATCACTTCATCCACTTATTGCATTTGGTTGGCAACTTCCTCCTAAAATATAGTCATTATTATCTTCACTAACACATATAGCACCATAATGTAAGGAGACAATTAGCATAAACTCAAGATCGAGTTGAACAAGTGGCAACCATTAAGAAAGTCTATCATGTTCCAGATTACAGCAACATCAGGTTTAGCTTGACTTAATCATAGTCACTTGTTCAAATAATATGACATGTGATATCATTAAATAAATTTGTAATTTATACGGTAAACAGTTGTTTTGTCAAAATTGCTATAAAATTCTAATTTTGGTCCTTCAACTTTAAGGTTTTGCATAATTTTTGTTCTTTAATTTTTTATGCACTTTTTTATGTCCCTTAACTATGAAAAACGTACTTTTTTAGTTATTTCGTTTATTAATCCATTAAGTTTATCTAAATATACACATTTTTTATCCCTTAGCTTCAAGTTAAAGGATAAAAAATGCAAGGGATAAAAAATGCAAGGGATACAAAATGTGCATATTTAGACAAGTTTAATTGATTAACGAATAGAAAGACTGAAAAATGTATTTTTCATAGTTGAGGGACAAAGCATGTAAGAAAGTTAAGGGGTAAAAATTACACAAAATTTTAAAGTTGAGAGACTAAAATTGGCATTTAATCTAGTTGTTTAATAAAATCTCATTTTTGGTCCCTCAACTTTTGTACAAAGCTGCTTTTCGATCCATGAACTCAAAAAATCCTTTTTTGGCCCCCCAAAGTTTAATTATTTTTACAACCCCTTCTTATCTCTTCGTTAGTTAAGTGTTGAATGTCACTATTAACTGTTAAGTATTTGTTTTTCTTATTATTTGAGCTTATGTGGGAATATTAGAATGGGCCACTCAAAACTTTTGTTCCTACTTTGCAATAGACCGATTTGCATCTTAAACTCTTAATCTGACTAGAAGGTGAATAGGACATTCACATAAATGGAGTAATTTATATTAGGTAAAATAAAAAAAAAAATTAATTATAAATTTGAAATTACAAATTCACCTTTCGAACTTGATCTTCTACCATCAATTTCATTCTTTCTCCTCTACCCAAACCAAACACTCTTCTCTCCCATTTTCCCTCTTTTCCTCTCTTCCTCTCTCCCTTTCTTTTCCATCTCCCCTCCTTTCCTTTCCTCCTCCACTCAAACTAGATATCGCAACAGTTGAGGAACCCAAATCTTCATCACATATAGGTTGAGAAATGAAACAAATCTAGGTTCTTCACCAGCGCATGGGGATTCAGCACCCTCGCACAACGATTGAGCGTTCCTCACCCCCATCTTCAACCAAATCATGCCTCTCTTCTTTTCCCCTTCACTTTGCTTCTTTTTCATCCATTTTCTTTAATTTGTTAATGTTTCTTTGCTAGATGCCTTCAGGCTTGATTGTTAAGGATTTTCCATTGTTGGCATGGGTAAGGGAACTAGGTCTTAGCATCACTATCGTTGGGCTTGGCTGGGTCATATTTGCAAAGAAGAACATACATATTTGCAAAAGATTTTCCATTGTTAGCCTTATTCATTTTCTAGGCTAAAATTTGCTGGGAACATATTTGCAGAGGAATCAAAAGAACATAATTTTGTTATGAAAATTGATATTTATAGTAGGTGTTGATTTTGAAGAACAAATGAAAAAAATGTTAAAATCTAAAGTAATGAGTTCACAATGTTAAATTAGCAATAAGGAAATGATTTTCAAAGATTAAAATAAAGCTTTGGATTTTTATTTTTCTTTTACTCAAGTGGTTAATTAAAGTTAATTGTATTTTAATTCATAAATTAAGCAAAACAAAATTGATTTTTCTTGCAAGTGAGTCCAAGATATTTATATAAAATGCTGATATAGATCTATAATTTTCTCCACATCATCATTTTTTACTCTAAGGATTTTCCACATAATTTATATAAAGAAGAAATCCAACAGTCTCTATTAATTAACATGTCATGTTAGCAACAATTTAACTGAATGACCAAAAAAGGATAAAAAAATAAAATAAACTTTAGGAAAAAATAAAGAATTTTTTTGAGTTTGGTGATCAAAAAATAACTCGGTACAAAAATTAAAGAATCAAAATAGAGTTTTAATGTTTATTTTTTAAACTATTACAAATAATGTGATTGGTAAAAAAAAATTTTCAATAGTTTGAAACTAGTAGATATAATTAGAGTGCAAACCATTAGTAGATTGAAAAATTTAATTTAGGTAATTTTTTTATATCAAATTATTAATAAATTGAAAATTTTTAATTTAGTGACAAATTTATTTATTTTACTTTTTCAATTTTTTGCCACACTCCTTAACTACTAATTATTTAATTGGTTTCAACTTTGTTTTTTCTATTTAATAACATTAGACAAAATAATTTGAAGCTTTTTTCTTTATTTAAAAATGATATAAATTGTTCTTTGTTAAAAATATAAATGAAAGTTTGATTCACACTTTTATATTTTATTTATTTGTTTTCTTATTATTATTATTTGTATAAAATTAATAAATTTAATAATAAAAATATAAAAAGAGAAAAAAATGTATTTAATTATTTTTAAACATGTTTTTATTAGTCATTAAACATCAAATAACAATTGATAACCAAATGGTTATATCAATTAAAATATGCTATATACTATTTACTGCATACTAATCTATTGTTTATCATTTGCTATTTACTAACCTCCATCTACTATTTATTATTTATTATCAATTACTCGTTACCCAGTATTCATTGAATTTTAATCGTTACACCAAACAAAGCCATTGATATTCCTTATTGTTTGTCCACTTAATGCTCTTTATTAATTTTTTTTTCTTCTAAGGTTCTCAATAACACAATTTTTTTGAGAATAAGGTTGTTGCTGAGCATGAATATGTTGAGTGCACTACATCAGCTATCCATGCTTTAGTTTTGCTTAAGAAGTTATATCTCAAGGACGAGAAAAATGAGATCAAGAAAGGTCATCACAAATGCCATTCACTACATTGAAATTGTACAAATGCCTAATGGTTTGTGGCATGTTCCTCTTTTAGAGTTTCCCTAATAAGTTTTAAGAAAAAAAAATCCATTACATGAAGCGCTTCAACTTGTATGGAAACTAGGAATTTGCTTTGTATATGGCCATGGTTTGCACTTGTAGCATTAGTAGTTTTTGGAAAACATATGACAATTCTCCAATGATGCGAATTGGGGTTAAATTTCCTTTATTCTTTTTTTTTTAAAATTTATTTACTTATTTTCTTTTATTCTTTTCAACCCAAATATATAATTAATCTA